GGCAAAGCTTTCATTTAGATTTTGGGTACAAAAGCATTTTTAATCTTTTCCTTGTCCACATACTTCATAGTAGCACCAGTTCTTTTCTTGTTCCCTGTTTATTTAAATGGCTGAAGAAATGTTTCATTTTCTACCTAATTTCCTCCTGACATCTATTTGAGAGTTATTTGCAGCAAATCTGTCTCTCTGTTCAGAGCACACGTAGGTAGTGGGTTTGTTCATCACTTGTTCTCCTTTCTTTTATTGCTCTCCCCCAGTCCACTGCAGCGATGCCACTGCACAGACTGTATTAACCAACAGGGTAGACATAGTTAAATACAGATGTTTTGTAGACAGGTACAGAGTGAACATATTTGCAATGAAATTCACAGGCCAACAGAAATCAAAGATCTTGTTATAATGGAAGCAGTGTTTTTAGATGATTTAGAGTCACAAACCCCGTTGCCTCAGCCCTGCTCATGCCAGAATTTCTAGCAGAAAACTTCAGCTTGTAGCAATAAAAATATTGTATGTTTCTTCTCTTCCAAGGAAATGAAAACTTTCTATCAGAAAGAACACAACAGAAGCAGAGTGGACAAAATAGTACCTTGTATAAGCTCTAAACCACTAACCCAATTTTTGAAACTGTTACCCTCTGTTGTGTTTTTTTTTTTTTCTTTTAATTGGGTTCTAACCCCATTATTTTGAGCAGAACCCTCACAAGGCAAACCAATGCAGAGCTGAGGGAACCTGTGACCAGGCACAGCATAAAACTAGCTCTGAACTGGGGACCTTTGTGGCTATTTTTGATACCAAGGATCCAAATTATGTTTACAGTTTCTGATTTTCCTTGATTACATATGAGTCTCTTAAACTATTTTTTTTTTTCGTTTTCAGCTGTGGAAAAATTATTTGTATAATTTCTGCACTGTCAAGTTTTGAATTGATAAAAACAGGCACAGATATGAGAAATTCAGGTTTCATTACACAGAGGTCAAAATATAACATTCTGCATGTCCATCTGCCAGTCAAAAGATCAGAAGTAGCAGTGGGGGAACCAACTAATCAGTGAATAATGAAGGAGTGTTACTGAGGATGTGTATTCATACATAGCCCATTTGCAGCCAAGAGAGAAAAGATTTCCCAAACCCATTTTAGCATAAAATTGGAGTGTCCTCCATGGACACCTGCAAGTCTTTTGGAAAAAACCTTCCAGACACAGAAGTCTGACTGTAGAGGGATATTTCTGTTGGAGGGGGACAGTGAAATAACTTCTTAATTTCATGAGTTATCCTCAGCTGTTCTGGTACCGTTCAAGCACAGTTTCCTGGGTCACTGCAATGCTTCAGACAGTGCCTGTTTCAGTACCAGACCAATCTTCTGGCTCTCAGCGTTTTTTGTGGCACTGTCAGAACTACACCACTGCAGAGACAATGACTGCAAACCTCTGCTAAGAAATTTATCTTTTTTTTTTAGTTTATTTATAGAGCTAAATCGTTTTCTATTCTTGAGAGCAGGCTGCTTACCCCTCACTTTCACCTCTCTTTCAGACTTAAGCCCTGAGCTGGTATTCCCTGCCTTGCATATTTTGCTTAGTTCCTTGAATTACAGCTTTTCTCTTTTCGTTTCAGCTTTTCTGCCCAGCTTCACCCATCGGTTCTCTACTGTAAACAACTGGTTTGCCTGCTAGATGGCACTGGCCATCCACCAGCGCTGGGACTGAAGGCAGGTGGCACTGAAGAGCCGTAAGGGCACATGGCCACTCTCTGGTCCTTATTCTGTTTACTTTCTGCAATGGCATTTTCTTTGCTCAAATTACTTCACTCCTCACCCACAGCACTCGCTTGCCACTATAATAATTCTACCTCTGTCCTCTTCTTGTTCTGTGATGAGTATAAACTCGCTGTTAGCCCTGCTAAAAAGAGCTGGAGCTGCTTCTGAACCCCTCAGTTTGTTGAAAATGACTGAAAACAATCAGAAGCCCTGAAATCCCTCTGGGTTTCAAATCACTGACTTGAGTCTAAATATTTTGCAAACAATAATTTTCGGGGGGGGGACACACACACACACAATTCATTAAACTTTTCTGCTTGAAAGCAGCTTTACAGAGCTATTTGTGAATAGATATAAGGTCAAATATATAAGGATGGTGTGAGAAATCTGCTTGTTCTGAATTCTTTGTATACTGTTAAAACAAAAATCTGTTGGTCATGATTGCCTTGGATGTGCTGCATTCAGTGATAGCGTTGAACAGTATTTTATGTGTTGCATCAACACAGTGAGGAGGAAGCTGACGCTTTCATTTGTGTCTGCAGGGCACAATGCACTGCTGCCATCCTCTCGGTGATCTTTTCAATAAAAGTGCTAAAAACCCCACAGTCAAACAAAATTAGAAAACAAAATTAATGACAAGTATCAAGCTGGAAATAGAAGAGCCTCTTTCTTTAAAGTATCCACAAGCCAAAAGCATCCTTCAGAACACACTCACTGAGCCAGTGTCTGTAAGCAGAAATGCCACCATTACCCTCCCAGTCCAGCCTTTCACCTCAGATCGCTGCTCTCTGCACCTGAGCAACCTGTTTGCTTTTCACACACATGGGCACGTTTCACCCCGTGCCAGATGTGCCCACAGTGGGTGTGATTTCTTGGAACTTGAGGGTGTACCCTCTGTTTGGATGGCACGTTCCCTGGCTGTGGTTGCTTGGAGACATTACAGGTATCATGGTATCTGCCTTGCGTGCCTGTAGATGTTTTCCAGGTAGGTGTGGCCATACTTCTCCTTGGCTCATCAGATTCTCCACAGATGTCCAGGGTTCTAGTGACAGAGCCAGGTCTAATTTTCTCATTAATTCTTTTTCAACCTTATAATTATCACCTATATATAAAGCTGGATGCGGTGCTGCATCATACCATATCATTTCTAGGTGCCAGACAGTTAATTTCTACCTTTTTTTTGGTCTCCTCACCACTGCAAATGTGCCTATCTCTCCATTTCCTTAGGGATGCTGAGAACTGATCATCCCCAAACCTAGAGAAGATTCAAATACAAGTAAAGTTTTTTAGACTAAATGTTGTGGTGGCATTTTAGGATGTTTCTCCCCGTTTTCCCAACCTTCTTCCCTCCCTTCACTTTTAAAAGTTAACACCTGCCTAGCAAAGTTGGCAGACAGGCTGAAATGCTTGTGCCTCAAGCCATTCCTGTGAAAAACCTGGCACCTTTGTTCAAATGTCTGATGAAAGTGGGTTTGAACTAAGATGTTGGTCTGTGAACTGGCAGGGGCACACAGACTGTTGTGGGGTGGGGAGCTTCAACGGAAGGAAGATGAGGGCAGATGGTGGCATTGTTGAGGTCTTGAGATGCCACACAAAGATTCACAAAAGCAGGTCTTTCTAAACCCAAATGTCTAAACTTGCCTGAAAAAACTCTGTGATGCATTTTGTCCCTGTTTAGATAAGACAGTGCAAGGACTTCTGTGTATTTGCCTACCAATTCCTCTGGCACAGCATGAAGCAAATGGCTACCTACACCTCCCTGGCTATTTGCAAGGCCACTTCGCTTTAAAATACAGCAAAGAGCAGCACCACCAAACTTAAATTAACTTTCCTGGTGGGGGAAGAGTCTTGAATTGATCCTTATCTACTTCACTGGGTCTTGTGCTGACAGTCAGGTTTGCTGTTCTCACCACTGTTAAAGTGTTCTGCTCTTTATTGGGTGTACTGCGAACAAACCACCAGTCCAGACCCTTCTGATACGGCTGTTGTGATTTGCCTTATCTTTATTTGCTCCTCAAGCCACTTTGGTAAGGCTGAAGAAACCATCTCCTGCAAAAACTTTGAACTCTGGATGAGCAACTAGAAAATATTATCAGGGACAGAGAGCTTAGGCTGCAGCTGGGATCCAGCTGAAGTGCATGCAAACTGCAGGGATCTGCACAGGAAGTGGCTGAGAGAGTTGCTGGCGTTGTGGCTATTAGGGAATTATTAGGCACGTGTTAAATGTAGGCTCAGCTTCACTAATGAATCACCTTGCTCAGGCTACAGAGTGTTTTGGTTCTGGTGGCTGTCAGGGTACAGAAGGAAAGAAAATATCATCTCACACTTGCAGCTAATACAGTGATTCTTACACGGGCTAGTGGATTTACTCCTGTGTGTGATTACAATAAAAGTGTTTAGACGCATTGCTCCTGTTATTACAGATTAATTAGCTACTGAAGGAAGAAAGTGCTACAAAGGCGTAATTCAGATTTCTGCACAGTCGTACTTTGTGGCAAGTTAGTAAGATTAAGGTGATATCAATTTACTTAACATTTTACAAAATAATAGGTTGAGTTTGCAGGCTGGGCACATGTTTAGTGCAAGCATCCAAATAGCCCTTCTTGCTCAGTGTGATTACTGATGTGCTTCAAATTAAGCATGCACAGAAATCTTGCAGGACCAGGGATGCCAAACACGAATAACTTTTCCCCCCAATATGCTTCCAATAGGTAAATAAGTAAAAAAAATGCACAAAACAAAACTTCAGATTCTACAGATATTGTGGGTGCAAAGGCCATGTCTGTATCTGTGTCCTGGATGGTGCAAAATGCAGTGACAGTCCTTAACACATAGACAGGAGTGACAAAAAGCTAATATGCAAATAGTGCTATACATGATGTTCCACAAATTTGTGTATAAGGCTCATTTCATATTCCAATACATGTACAAGCTGTAAACTGTATTATTTCTCCTAACACACACTTGAGAGTTCATCAGTGATGGGTGAAATAATCTTAACAAATGTCTTTTTCCTTGCTCAGAACCCGGGAGGGAGCAGCAGTATTTGGGTTGCCGGGAGCAGTGGTCGGGCTCCAGGCTGGGTTTCGGGGTGTGGGTGGCAGGGAAAGGGGGGCGGCTCGGCGTGGGGGAAGCCTTGGTCCCCCGGTGGGAATTACTCCGCTCCCTGTCCCTTTCCCAGCCCCGTCGCGGCAACATTTATTGCAACAGCAGGAAATTGCTTATTACTAAACTAGCTGGCAAGGGAGCGGAGCCGATGCTGTTCCACACTGGCACAGCAATTGCTTAGCTGCTGCTTTCCCTGTCTCTCCTTGTTCCGCTCTTTCTTCTTCTTCCCTCTCTTTCTCTCCTCTCTCCCTCTCTCTCTCCTCTTCTTTTTTTCATTTTGGCTTCTATTCAAATGTGGGTCAGGGGTGAGCGGCTCCCAACGTCACAAGCTTGCAAGATGGCGCTGGGAGGAAGGCTGTGAGATGAGGAACAGGCTGGTATAAACCGAGAGGACAGGAGAGGGAGAGGAGGAGAGGGGAAGGGGAAGAAAAGCTGCTGCTCCAGATGCAATAAGAAGGTAACGCGGCGCGGGGCGCGGGTCCCGCGGGGCGGCCGGGCGCTGCCGGGCTCCGCGGTGCAGCCCAGCCCCGCTCCCCCGCTCTTTATTCGCAGCTCCGGTGCTTTGCCCATCTGCACGGGTCCGCTCGGGAGAGTCGCCGGGGTGGCGGGGGTATTCCCTTGTTCCCTGCCCTGCATCAGCCGTGCCCGGCACCGGCGGTACTTTCATTGAAAAAAACCTGAGATCGTTCCCCGTGCCCCCTCTCTCCGTGCCCCGGGCCCTCTGCCCTCGCTCTCCCGGCCCGCTGCCCCGTTGCTTCGGGGGCCGGGGCGTGCATCGCTGTGCCGGCCACCGTGCCTGTCTAGGGGTTGCAAATGCTGGTTATTTGGTTGAAGCGGCTGGAAACTTTCCCCTCCTCCCGTGCCATTTGTGTGTGTGTGTGTGTGTGTGTGTGCGTGTGTGTGTCCGGGTGTGCGCTGCCCCTTCCCCGGCGGCGGTGGGGTCGGGGCGGGGGGCCGCAGCTGCTGCCCGCCGGGGCCGGCCGGCGTGGGGCTGAGCGGCGGGGAGCGCAGGCAGCCCCGGAGCAGCCGCCCGCTCCCCATCCTCACTCGCCCCTGCAAGTGAGCCGTATTTTATTTTATTTTATTTTTTCCCCGAAAGGATAGCGCGGAGCCCCGGGGTGCCGGGGGGCGTGTTTGTGCCGGAGATCTGGCCGCATTGTGGAGGAGAGGGCAGGAAAGGGGCTCCCGGGACTTGCATCCCCTCCTTTCCCCCCCGCGGTCCATCCGCCGGGCTGCGAGGCGACGAGCCAGGCCGGCATCCCCCAACCCCGGCGCCGGCCCCAGCCCCACCGAGCACCCCCTGCCCTACCGGGACCGCGGTGAACTTTTGCCCTGGCTCCCCCCTTCCCCGCCGCCCCCCTCGGTCGCTCGGGATCGGGGAGGGAAAGACCCGCCGGCTCCGCTCGCTCTGCCCGTCGCTGCGGGTCTCTGGCTTTTGTTATGGCCCCATCTCGGACGCAATGGACGGAGCAGGATCGCGCACCCTCCCGCGGCCGGGGGCTCCCTGGACCCTGCCCGCCGGCTTTGTGCCCCGCAGGAAATGCGCGTTCCCCGGCCGCGCCGGCCAGCGCAGAGCTGTCCACCCCGTTTGAAAAAAAAAATTTAAAAATTTAAATAGTACGTCCAGGCTGGCAATATTGCTACCGAGGCGCTCGACATCGCAACTGAGGGAACCGGGAGGGCTGGTGGCTGCCCGCGGCTGCCCGGTCCGGGTGCGCGGCACCGCGGAGCCGGACCGGGCTCTGCATCCCCCGGCGCGCCGGTGCCGGTGCCAGCTCGGCGGCGGGGGGAGCCGGGCTTTTTGTGTGTGTTTTTTTCTGGTTGCATTTAAAAGCAAAGCCAATCCGGCGGGGGGAGTGGGGGCGGGGGAGGCAGCGTGCCGGCCCCCTGCGCGGTGCGCGGCCCGGGGAGCCCCGCGGTGCCCGCTGCGCCCAGCCCGCGCCCGGCCCCTTCGATACGGGGCGAGAGCCGGCGGGGAAGTCAATTATTGACTTCTGCTTGGCCGGGTCCCAGGTGGAAGTGGGCACGGCGGCGGCGGGCGGCTCTCGGCGCGCCCCCCGTTATCGGGGCCGCCAGCCGCGCTCCTCCCGGGGGCTCCGCGCCCGCCGGACACCGCGCCCGGCCCCGCGGAGCGCGGATGTTCACCCGGGGTCTGGGCACTCGAAACTTTCTGCTTCCAAGTCCGCAGCCCTGGAGAACTCGGGTGGCCTCGGCGCGTCCATTGGCGGGTAACTTGGCGTTAGTATCTGCGAGTGGGGCGGGGGTGTATACACCTTTACATAGAATTAATGAATTATATATGGAACTAAGTGTTTTAGCAGACAGTTACCGAAATCACTCAGGATGTAACTTTGCTGTTAGAATAAATCTGAGAGAACAGCCAGAAACCAGTTAAGAGCATCAGAATTACATTCTGCTAATGAACTGTCCTTTGACCAAAACTGGTTTAAATTTGTTGCGGAATGCTGTTTATATTTGAATAGCTCCCATGTTTTTCCACAAATTAAAGGGGAAAACAATATGCAATAGTCACTTTCATTGGAAAATGTCAGAACTATGAGCAGATGTTTGCTGTGCCTGATAAATACAGTGTATGAAAAACTAATACTTCAAGATGACTTATTACTATTTTTTATGACTCAGAACTATTGTAATATGCTACAGTGGCTCTGGAGAGAAAGCTGTAAATGACTCCTTAGGATTTCACAGCAAATCTACATGGGGAAAATGACATATGGAAAGAAAATTGACTTATTTCCACAACTGCAAGTGGCCTCCTTTTTGCGCCTTTTCATTAGCAATCTAATCCTAAAAGCATTAGGAGCAATTATTTGCAGTGGTGCCTGACATTCTAGGTCTAATTATTTAAATCAGTTTAACTTTTGATGGTTGACCCATTAGGTCAAATCTGTGTGCCCTTTGTTATATTTATTAAAAAAAAAAAAAAAAAAAAAGGAGGAGGGGGGGCGTCTTCAAACTTGCCACCTGCTACTGACATATCATTTTAGCTCTGGAGGAGATCAGCATTAAGAATAAGCAACCTCTTACATTTGTTACTTTCCATTCTAACACGGGAAGGGACACCCCGTATAAGTGCCTTATTCTCTGGCGTCTAAAATCCATTGCTTAATCACGACAGACTTGTGTGGCCACAGGAGTGTAAGCAGGAGGAATGGGAGAATCCGAGGATATGGCAGGTTTTCCCTATGTCATGCTTCCTAATCTACGTGAAATGCAGATGAGACGCACGTACATAAAAGGGATGATTTTTCAGTGTTTGGTGGAAAAGCTTCTTCCAAGAATCCGCGAGAGCTCTAAATCTTTAATGCATAAAGAAACATCTCACGTTAGTATTCACATACGTTGCTGGGCAGAATGACTTATGGATGTGTAGATAGTAATAAGTATTGCAAGATGCTTGAAGCACTTGGTATCACGTGATGTGCTGTAGTGTCAGTGCTGAATTGTTTGGCAGAAGCCGATGTGTGACAAGGGGTGGGGGGAGAGAGGAGAGAAAGAGAAGGTGAGAGGCCTGATTCCAGGAGGGTACATGTTCAGTTTGTTTTGATTAGTTGTTTAAAATAACTAGAACACAACCTAATGCTAAGCAGTTTGGCTGTGTGATGGATTTAAACTCTGTAAAACAGCCACCGCAGCCCAAAATTGGTGGTCACAGCATGACATTTGAAGTTGTGAACAGCAGATCTTGCAATGAGGGTTCCCGTTTTCCAGCATCTTTACAGTCCATAGTAATTAAGAACTGTCAAACATAAACTGTATGTTGTGAATTCCTTTGACCTTGCAGAAAATAGTACATGGCTATTCTTTGAGCTCCTGCTGCCCTCTTTGATGACAGATGTAGGGAACTGGGATAATGTTTGAAAACCGAGGTGCATTTGCCTTCGTATCAGAACTCCTGTTTGTGCTGACTGCAGCATTTAACCCTCTCATCCAGCCTGGTGAGCATATCGTGCGTTGACAGGCAGAGGTACTGGTAGGATGGGGTTGTCATGTTTTCTCTACAGAAACCCAAGTTTCCCATCCCCAAACCAAATCTGACTGATAAAGCGTACGAGCGAAACTGCAGCTTCTGACAACAGCTGGGGAAGAACGGTGCCACAAAGCGGCATTTCAGCCTGCAGCAAATGTGGTGTTGGAGCAGGAGAAAGCAAAATCACATTTGTGACATAGCCGTTATATTGGCTGTATTGTGACAGGCGAAGCTCAATGGGAAGGGACCATTTCAGCATCAGCAGACATGCCTTCCCTGCTGGGCTTGGAGAAAAATTAACAGGGCTCAGCTGTGGGATTGCAACAACAGAGTGTCAACCCAACCGTAAGCAGGAGAATATATTTTAAAAAATAAAGATGACTTCTCCTTTGGTTTGGTGATGATCACACTACCAGTGATTGAGCAACTAGAGCTGCTTAAATTGGTTTTTGTCTTGCTGTAATATCAGGAGCAAGGACAATGCATTGCAATGGGGATTTCACTCTGCTGTGCAGTAGCTCATTGGTGAAGAAGCTGCATTGGTTCGCTCGAGTCTCTTTTAATCAGCAGTGACAGTGTGCTTAGTTCTCCCAAAAGCAGCAGAAACAACGTTAAAAAGATGTTCCTGAGAGTCGTATTTTCTTGTTCAGTTAGCATCTCCAGGTTCCAACAGGATGCCAGTTTTAAGCTGGGTTTCTTTCCTTGAAGTGTATGTGTATTGTGCTAGCTGTCCAAACTTGTAAGTTACTCATGCTTCTTGTTTGTAATTCCTGGAAAGAAAATTCACCCTCCAGTGCTGGCTCCCACAAAACAAGGAAGAAATGAAACAGTGAGGTTAATCCTGAATTTTAAGCTGGTACAAAATGAGTTGTTACAATAGCTGTAAAGGAGAAGTCTACAACACTGCAATAGCTGTACCTGCTGTAAGTGACAGGTGGGAGAAATTTTGTTCTTTTTCATCTGTGTTTGGATGACGGCCCAGTGCTGGCCACAAACTGCAATCCAGGATTAATCCTCACATAGTGTTTTCTTTCTATATATCAGATTTCTCATTTTCTTAATAAGCACAGCCTCCCATGCACTCCAAGTCAGCTGTTCTGGAGTGGAAGCGACAGGGGTTTGCGTTATTGAAATGACGGCTCTCATGCTTTCCTGGAGCCCGTATTGTTTGACCAGGGCAGGGCAGAGGGTGATCCTTGTAATCACAAATCCTAAACAGGGATTCTGGTTACTGATTTTGCTTAATGGAAAGGGGTGGGGAATGTACTTTATCCAGGATTACATCTGTATTAGATCACATTTTCGGATGTGCACCCTGAGGATTTGAAGGGGCTAAAAAGTGATCTTTTAAACTGAAAACCTCAAGCAGGCATTCGGAAATGGACCCGTTGTGGGGTTCCTTCACTTGCTCTCTTGGTAACAGAGAAAAGACAAACTGCTGAGCTTGGCTGCAGAAAGTGTCAGAA